TTTTATATTTATATAATTTATATATCAATAGTTCGTATCTCCACGAACAATGACAGAATGACTGAGTTTCTTTAAAATACAATGAAATTTCACTCAAAATTCTGTTTGTTTCAAATTGGAAGTTTAAAATGGCAATAAAAACCCTATATAAAATATAAAAAAATTAACTGTCTTGAATTATTTTGTCGGGCGGTACATTTATATTGTATAACGAAATATAAAACATTTTCACAAGTATTGTAAAATTCAGTCGGGCGGTGATGAGAATCAAGGAATTTATTTTATGTTGGGCAGTTGGGACTTGGGTATGACTTGGGAGCAACTTGGGAGTGGCTAATTTTCAATATTTACTTAATTAATGACATCTATAAATAGCGTTGATGCTTCAGAGGCGGTGGTTCATTTACACCCAGTTTTTCGGCAGGCGGTATTTCCTAAGGACCGCCTGCCATGCAGGCTAAATGTTACTGAACAAGCAAAATATTTCCACTGGCATATTGCACCAGAACTAACTTATGGCACTCATAGGTAATCCTTAGCGTTGGATGTCTATTTATTTGGGAGTTTGATGGGTTGGGTATACAAAACAGTCCATTTACACTGCAGCCGCCTTAAGGGCATAATCAGAAAGTGTGTGAAATCTAATCCAGAGGACAGACCACTTTTACAGAACGTTCAGAATGATTTGTCTTAAAACTAAACGTTTTTTAAAATATTCTCAACATAAAATTTTGAGTGTATTCTTTGCGCTGGCATAAAAACAGAACAGTTTGGTTCTTGGTACTTTAAAGACCATACCTGAGCAGGATTTCCAATTTCATTTATGTCATTTGCTGGTTTGTGCCATTTCACATATGCAAATATATGCATAACGTTTTTGCCATCCATTTCTATCGTATGTTTAAAATAAAATTGTACAACTCTTGGAGTAAGAGAAAAAATTTCTTTGTTCACACCACCATGATTATCAGGCCATGAAGCCAAAATTCTACTTGATCTTATACTTCTTGGCACAAGTTTTGAGCCATACGATGTTGCGCCTATGGTGGTTGACCCAAATTTATGTATCAAAGAGCTAATGCTACTGACGTGGACATTGGCATTCGGGGAGATTAATCTATAGACTTCTATGAGCAACGTGGCATCATCAGAATCAATGCAACTCATTTTATAGTTTTGTGGGGGGAAAATCCCTTCCATTTCTGACCACACGTTTCCGACAGGTAATGGGGATGCTGTCGCTTTATGATGAACAGAATCTTTAGTTTCCCAAGCAGCTGTTATTGCCCAAACATCATTTTCCCCTCTCCTTGACTGAGAGCAAAGTGGAAGTAGATCTTGCTTGAATAAATCTGGAAGATTGTGAATGTCAAAGATACGGGACATATGGAATTTTCGCATGAGTTACAATTCCAATGACCTTTTGTTTGTTGTCATACTTCCCAGTATACCATTGAAGCGTTCAAAATCGGTGTGATTGCCTCATTTCCATACAGCTCTTCAACCTTTTTGAAAAACTTTACGAACAATATATCCAAAATCTCTATGTCTGTCCTGGAAATTGTATTTACTTGCATTGAAAACGTATTTGCATGCAAGTACAAATGTTTGCCAGCATTTAAAGTCTGCTTCTGGAAGAACACCCTTTAGACGGAACTGCTGTATAGGTTCCAGAATTTGAAGTTATTTTCGACGGCAGCTTTCCTATAGAATTTGGTCCATTCACCACGACAATTCGTTTCTCTATTTCTACAAGATTACTCTTTGTCAGAACGCTGGTGTTCGTCCAGATGTGAAACATCTTTTTGGTTTAGTGTGGTTATGTTACCAGGAAGTTTCATTGTAGTGGTAGTATGTTGCACTGATAAAAATCTTTATTTACAGTTTAAAAAACGTAAAATATAAATCAAGCTTTCGGACTAAGCGTCCATCGTCAGGATTAAAATGGCAAAAATGATCAGTCGCTTAAATACTATTTACATGTCAATGACCTAACTAAAATACTAGGTTTTTTGAATAATTAGATTAAAAGACAAAAGAGTCATAATAGAGTCATATAAGCGTAATATAGAGTCAACAAAAGAGCCATAATAAGACACTGGATAAAAGAGTCATAATAGCGTATTATAGCGTCAACAAAGCATTATTTAGTCTTTACTAAATAAAGACTCTATTATGACTCTATTATGACTCTTTTGTTATTTAGTCTAATTATTCAAAAAACCTAGTATTTTAGTTAGGTCATTGACATGTAAATAGTATTTAAGCGACTGATCATTTTTGCCATTTTAATCCTGACGATGGACGCTTAGTCCGAAAGCTTGATTTATATTTTACGTTTTTTAAACTGTAAATAAAGA